AACCTACGGTGGACTTAGCATTTATTATCTACTATACAAAAAGTTAACTAAGCATTAAAGTAACTTTGAATGTGAATTTCTTCTCTATTTAGGAGTGATTCACGCTATGATTTTACGTACTGTTAATTTTGCCACCATTATAAGTTCCTCTCTACCACAACTCAAATAAATCATTATTGATCGAAGCGACTCTACTTGCAAATTTTCTAGCAAAATGGAAGAAAAAGAAGATGGAGTCATTGTTTTAATTTGAAAAGACCCTTGACTGAAGTCTTGGAGGATAACGAAACTCTTCATCTAAACTTTCCCTTCCCTTACGCAAATATTCTAATGAAATCCCCACCAATCTCATCGCAAAAATCATTACCTTATCATCCTCTCTGTTGATTATTCAGAACTGGATCCAACTTTGTGCAAATCCAATTTCCTGTTCTTTTCACAGACTATGATATCTTGATCCTGGCGCTAACGAAAGAGGATTATAATTTTCCTGAACGTTTCATTTTAATGAAATCGCCGTGGCCCGAAACAGACACCGGCCGTTTACGGTTTCTCTTAAAACCGATCACGATGTTACGATCGCGAAAAAAAAAGCTTCCGATGCATGTGACTCATAAAAATATTATATAAGACGTTCACATCGGGTCAAAAGCAGCCGCACCCGTCATGAGTTAGTTACGTTCGAATCCGAAACGTCTCCTCTTATGAATAATCCTTTTAATGTAGTACCTAGCAGCCGAGGCGATACTTCGATAAAGCCTTGCGATTAACTATCTCGACGTGATACCATAAAATACTGGAAGACCGATCAAGATGGAAGGTGGTTAAACGAGAGGATGAAAGAAGGGTAAACGACGATTAACTGGTTAATTCATTGGAACCAGTTTCCAGGGTGGCAGAGCAAGGGATACTGTAATTACGTTTCAGTCTAATTATGATTTGCTGAACTTATCGAACGGGAATACCCTACCCCTCTTTGCTGCCACTCTCATATATTTGCTTGAAATTGTAGCGGGTCATTTACATCATGGCATTGACTTTTTGCACGAAAACCGGCCAAGTTAATCGAACGACCGATAATAAGGAACGAGACTCCGTGACAATTTGTTTCTTATCGGCTTGAAACATAGAACAATTTGCAGATTTCAAATATCTTCAGATTTAATATCTTGAGCACTATGAGAAACTTGTTTAATCATTAATAAGTTGGGAATTGTATAGCTTCTTTGGAAAATCGTTTAAAAGATTCTCAAGGGACCTATAAGCATCCTATGCCTGAGATAATCACTGTTTCTATAATTTTTCTATTAGAAATATATTTTTGCTAATATTCCTAACACCTCAAGGACCTGCTATGCACTTGAAAATGTTGATAACATCACAGTAATTAAATGGAAAGTAAAATGACTGCCTGGGAGGTCTATTAAGCAATTTAGTGTAGCAAAGTGCTGAAGCATACCGTTTTTATAAACAGATTCGTAAACCTTACAGTCATAAAACGATTTCGAACACACAATTTCACGCATCGAATAGCAATCGCATATCTAAAGATTTAGATAACGTAGCCTGTATGGCTCACGATTATCCACTTAACACTAAAATTACCGACGTTCGGCGCACACTTATCTTCGAATTAGAAATAAATAAATAAAACATGAAACATTCTTGTACGATATACCATACATATCTATAGCAGATGATGAAATAGAAGATTTTTCTGTGGTACTTTGTGAGGAAAAGGGATTGGTGAAAAAACAGAAAGGAAAGGGAAGGGAAATTGGTTGAAAAGGTGGTCGGATCGGGGTAGGGGTGAAGTTCTAACCGGTGCAAGAGGTTCATTGGGCGGAGATAGCAGAAGGTTGTCACAGTTGACTGAAATGCTGATTCGTTCCATCCTTTTGATGCAGTTCCTTCAATGATACTATAAAATACCTCCGCATAATAAGGTGAACCGGATAAAAATTCGCGTTGTTTTCATCGAAACCTCAGCTTTTTTCAGAAACCTACTTCTTTGAAACGTTTTATACCAAATGGATGAATGACGTACTGTTGTGTGATACTAGAAAATCGACTAATAGATTCAAAAAAAATTTCTGAAAATCCAATTGGAGAAAACTACTGAGTAAAATCGGCTTCCAAAAGTAAAGACGATTTAAACGTTACTTTAGGAATTCTCTTTGCTTCGGTCGAACAACGACCCGCGTGACATGCAGATAAGAAATGATTTCCTGCTTTCACCGATACTCTTATCGATGTCTTTTCGACCTCCTTCGTGTTTCTAGTATTTCTAAATCTATTTCCTTCTCTCAACCTCGTCTATTCGTTCGCTACGGTTTAAATTAGTCATACAAGAAAGTGCAACAATGGTTGCTTTGATGAAATAAATGTTGATTCTTCAAAAAATCATGACACGAGTGGAAAATAAATGATGAACTAAAAATCGTCTCTGTACTCCACTCTCGCAAAATTTCATCTTAATTTCAATAACAGAAACAATGAAGAAAAGAACCAGTAACAAAAGAAAGAAAAGAAACGATGATTGATAGAGGAGAGGAGTAGTTGATGGTAAGATTGGGCGGTGATAGAGGTAGAATTCCAGGGTGTAAGAAAAACATCACTCCTTTTATCCTTTCTTACCAGGATAATTCCATCTCTAGCTCGCGACCTACACACCAACGAAGGTCCACCGATTTTCCATTTTGTTTACTGTATTCCCCATCTTACCGTGAATCGACGCTTTCTATCCCCCTCTACCCCTCATCTATCGTCCCTTTCTAGGCCAAACAGTATCTCCCTCCTCGTCGGTCCATTTTGACCCGGGTTGCTGTTCAACCAGCGGAAGCCAGCCAGACAGCTCGGAAGTCTCGTTGTCCTTGTTCCATCTCTGTCGAAATATTTCGCGGCGACAAGGACGCAGGATCAGAAGTAGCCAATCAGAGCAAGGCTAGTCTCCTGGCCGCCGATCAATGCGAAACTCCTCTGTACCGACGTGCCACGGGGTGTATCCTGTGTTCCAATGGTCGAGAAAGAGAAAAAGAGAGGCGAACATCTTTGTCCAGCGGCAACGGACGGTCCTACAATTTCGACGCGTCGCCCAATGCATCCGCCATGTCGTTTCGCATTGGCGACTGGCCACACGTCGTACCGTGTAAACTTGTCTCTCTGTTTTTTTTTCCTTTATCTTTCTCTCGGTCTCGTTACCACGACGTCTCGTTACTCGTTGGCTCAACTGTCTCGACGATTCTTCTTCACCGTTCACTTACGTGATACGAACGCTGATGCGACTATCCAGAGCAACGTTCAACTTTCGTGGACCTTCGATCGATCCGGCGCAATCGTGTTTCGTAAGGATGTAAGAATTTTCGTACAGTCTATCGCAGAACAGTGTATTTTGAGAAAAATAGTGATGGTGCGCAGATGAATTAAATTTTTAAGATGTCCAGTAATAGGTAAAGAAGAGGAAGGACCATTTCAAGAAAATGATGCCCATTGCGTATTCATCATGTTCAAATATCCTTATGATCATCTTAAGTTCTTGGTTATTACTGTAAGTTACAGCTCCGTATACGTAACTGTCATGTAACATCTTACATCGTTCGGAAGTTAAGAAACCTCGTCCATCATCACGACTGGCTGAGTTCATAAAACAAAAGGACGAAAGATTACGAACGGGGACAATCACGTAGGTCCATTCGTCATATTCGGAAATATCCGCAGTCCTACACCCTCCATCAAACTTTATCCCCGTAGGTAATACGTCGTTCGTTGTACGTGACCTTCCCTGGCAACTCTGTATCCATCCAAATTGGATATTGAACGACCTCGAGGTTTCACCCGTTCCCAAAACATGCGCATCCATAACGTTAAAACACAGTATAAACCTTTCAGTTTAATTAAACCGAGTCAGAGCGAAGCTTGCCAAATAGACCGGGACGATTTCGTAACCTCGAAATCATTCAAGACGATGAAACTCTTCCTTCGTTCGAGGATATTACGAGAAATTTTTTTTTTTTATTTTTCCTCGTGCTCGCCCGACCGATTAGGTCCTGTAAGATCAGATGATTATTCCTGTACCGTAAAGGAATGTCTTGGAAAAGTTATTTCCTTGAAGAATATTTTCAGCAAGTTGATGAATGAATATAACCTCAGCTTTTTAGAAATTTTCTGGATGACGGAAATAACAATTCTCAGTATTTTCTAAATTATTTATGTGCTTTGAATTTAGAAATTATAGCACACGTCGTAGAGACAGGCGATTCTCTGCGATCTAGATATAGAACGGAGCTAGTTATCACCCTCTGTCCTCTTGCTTCCACTTCTTCAAGCACTCGAGCTTCTTTTAACCTATCTTTCACGAGGTGATAGTCCCCAACTTCCTTCGTCTCGATTGTTCACCGATGAAACGATTCTAAAGAAAGTTGATTACCTTCGTGTCATGCTCAATAATCAACCTCCATTAATTTCAATAATGAGCTGCCGCTTTTCCTTTCATCTCTTTCTTCTCTTGCGATCAACGTCTGACCTCATTTACATATTCAATTTTGAAAATTGGACTGGCTTGAAAGCGGTATAGAGCTTATGGAAAGCACTCGTTGAAATTTTTATTCGTTGCCATTCTTGTCATTCGTTGGTACTCATACTAGATGGAAGAATTTGTGGAACGAGTATGTTTTACTGTTTTAGTATTTTCCTAGTTTTCGTTACGTCATTTTGCCGATGGAATTCGAGCGCGTGTCAACAAAGGAATTTCACGATGGAGACGATGTTCTGGGAGAGAATACGACGAACAAAAGCTGGATATTCTTAGGGAACAATAGGCGAAAAATTCCGAGAAAGAAAATAATAGACAATTTTCGTCGAAATAAATACGGAGTTATCTAATGTTTCTTTGTTACCTATTCGACTATTCTAACTAGGAAATGTTTTATGTTTATCCAATGAGTTGCTATAGACGACTTAAAAATTATTTTAGAAAATATTTATTTATTAATTTCACTCACCCATTGAACGTCGAGCCGCCTAATCACCAGTCCAAGAAGCAACTCCATGTTCCACATCTGAAACAATACAATATAAATATTAGAACACTAAATATAAATCTATCAGAAAAGAAGAACGGATGTCAAAGGAAATTCTAGCGACACCTTTGATAACCACAGGGCCAAACTCAACAACACGTGCACCTTTCTTATAAGATTCGACTGAATTATACCAACGACGAACCCTGTTCACGCTATCAGAGATCCCCACTCGACAACAAAATATTCGTGACCATGATCAAGAATCCTGCTTTCCGTACGATTACCTGCAGCGAGCAACATTCTTTGAGCACAGGCCACAGGTATGGTTATTTTCCGTGAACGCCCTGTAGTAGATGGACCCTGTGCGGGTTTCATGAAAACCAGCGCGAGAAAAGATCCGCCACGGAATACCAATGAACTTCCGAGCGTAAAAATCGACACTTTCGATGGTGGCCACAAAGATAGAACGCCTCATGCATCATGAATTTTTTGTTGAATTTTAAAATGAAGGTTTTTACTCCTGATAGATTGCTTTTTATTCGAATCTTTAACTATGGCAGAGTTGGATGCATAATTCTATAGCTGCATGGTCTGTAGCTCTATAACTTTGCTATGGAATACACCTAGCTCTTTTTTTATGTTGAGTAGTCAGTTTCACATGGATTATTATTTGTAATGTGGACGCTTTTTTATTTCCAATATGAAGATTTTTATTTTTAATAGACTACATCCTGTTTATCTCCCGAGCTGTGATTGGGTTGCATTCTATAGCTTTATAGCATTACCATACCCTTGTTAGATTGCATTTCATTCGACTCTCCAGGTATGGTTGAGCTGCACGCGGAGCTCTATAATTCTGCTATGGAGCCAGCTGTATTCTGTTTCATGATATGATTATAAATATCTGAACTCTGGGTATGGTGAAGTTGGATGCATAATCCTACGATTTCGAGTTCTATAGTTCTATATCTCTTCCATGGAATACGCTATATTCTGCTCGATGTTATGCTTATAAATATGTGGATATGTATCTTTTTATCCTGAAAATTGAGACACTCTGGGGAGATTACTTCCTGTTTGAATCTTTAGCTTTAAATTGACTCTTAGTCTATGGGACGAGCTAATTTTTTATGAAAAATCATCGTCATCTGTGTATAATGATTCTACAAGAAAAATAAAGAAATCGATTGCATTCTATTTCACCGCATACTCGGATATTTATAAACATTAACGTATTACCTAAATAAAAACAGCTAAATTATAGCTACAAAGAATAGCTAAATTATAGACTCAGGAAATGAACGCAAACCGAAGAAAATAATTCTTCGCAATGGCGTTTGATTGAAGAAAATTCTTTAGCAGGAAGCGAGCATTGAAAAATCCGTGCCGTTGAAAAATCATCGCTAATTACGCGCTCGGAATTATCTATACCACTCATTCTCACCAATTACAACGTGAATGTTAAAAAAAGGGGTACGCCCTCTTCGGCACGAGTGATTCCATCAGTGATGCTAAGTGCATATGAGAACTTAATGCAACGAAAGAAAAACATAGCAGACACATTACTTATCTTTAGTGGTGACCGTTTGCAATCATTATTTAATGATTGCATGCACGGATTGCTGAACGATGAAATATTAAAAAAAGAAAAAGAAGAAGAATACAAAAAAAAAGTCAAGAGGAACGGAACAGTCATCATGTCAGTGGAACGGAAACTTACGGGTGTTCGTTGCGCCGGAAGTTCCATTCTCCACTGGATCGTATAAATGAATGTTAATCATCCACGAAAAATGCAACTTTCGACACTCGTCGGATCGGTGCGGGGAGAAAGAGACGGGTCGAATACTAAAGCATCGATCGATGCAAGCTTTGACTCGATACATCGTGATATCGCTTAGAGCCCGCGAACCGTACGATGCGCACGCGTATATCAAACCATTCATTACTCTGATTCAGCATGGCGACTTTGCCACAGTTGTTTTTTATCCCTACTCTCTACCAGCATTTCAAGTGTTACCAAACTCTGTAACACCCACCAATTTCAGCTATAGACACCATGAATATTAAGTAAGCGTGCCGTGGCTGCATATGGCTTAGGTGACGCGTTCTTTCGTTAACCTTGGGACTTTCGTCCAATCGAGAGAAATATTACCGGATAAATTGAGTATGATGACATGAGATGCTGTGTTTCGTGGCGAAACATTGCAATCAATTGAAAATATGCGAATATTTAAGTGTCATCTCTTGGTTGGTCATACAAGTGCAACGTACCCTTTCGTTAGCCTTGGAACTGTCAATGTAGGGAATTATATATTGAGAAAAAATATCCATACGTTGAATTTAAATAAATATATATGTTTATAAATATTGTACCCTGGCTGGATACAAATGGTTGGTTCATCCTTTAGTTAGCCTTGGGAGTCTGATTTAATGGAAAGAGTTATTTTCAAACAGATTGAATAAGAAAACATGGCGAAACGTTGCATGCATCTAATGATATGTAAATATCACTATTACTATTATGTCTCTAAGCCTCGTATTCAGCTTGACTGCATATGGCCGACGCACCCTCTCATTAACCTTAAGACTCTGATTCGATTCAGAGACTTATTTATGAATAAATGAAATAAGGCGGAATTAAACATGGCGGAACGTTGCATCAAGCCGAAGATATATGAACATGATTATGTTAACTATTATTAAACCTAGTTTTCTGAACAAAATTAAATCACAACAACTGTGGAATTTATCTTTCATGTTTGTCTGTGATTACGCGAAGCATTAAGCTGGAAGCGATAGCGCGTGTTCATTTCGATGTAAAGCGAACTATGACCCAAGACGGGAGATAATTTTAGATTTGCTTATAACTATACTGTAATAAGCAGTAATAGTAAATTCCCTCTTATCTCTGACTTCAATTATGCGAGCAATTTGATTTAAGATCATAGCATGTACCACAAGACTTGTTAAATTAAAGATCTGACGCGTATCGAGCGATATGGAACAACCGGAAGTTCACGTTGTAGACACGAAAACTCCGTCAAAAGTGGGTAACTCATGGGAGATGTCTTCGTGCATTGCGCACTCGTAAGCGGTATAAAACGACCGTCAAGGAAACTGCGACACAATTTAGCTGATAATAAAAAAGAAGTGCACGCGCCTACGACAGGAAGCAGGGTGTTAAGAAACGAGTCGGAACACTGCAATTCATTAACACGTTACATGATCAGCAGAACTTCCACCATTTGAAACCCCTCGAAGATCCTCAAATTCAAGACTCGAAGAGTTATCTACCTGAAGGGATAAAATAACCCGATACCTGAGCGAATTTACTTCCGTTTCATCGTTTTTCCCCGGATGCACGATGGAAGGTCGCTTCTTCGAGGGCTACAGAGCGGTATTTTATATGCGGGCCAGTCAGCAAGCTAACGTATTTAACCGGGCAAATGTAGAGAACATAGTAACACACATATCGGCAATTCTTTTACCGAGCCGTTTCGCTTTATGCACCCCACAAAAGTGCATGAGCTGCTTTACTGCTCGAGAAGGTAGGTTCGTTGGCTGTGGAAACGTGGCGGCTTAAGAAACGAGAAGAAGAAGAGGAAGAAGAAGAAGAGGAACGTTGCTGAAACGAGCGTACAACTACGGTATCCAAGCAGAAAATTTCCGTGAGCTCTAGAAAGCGTGGCCAAACAGGAATACACGCGAATCGCCGAATATAAAATAGATGTAAATGCAACGAACAGACAGATAAGGAGGATGGACTCGCAGGCTGCATATTTAAACGCGGATAAAGAAGTCCCTAATCTATGACGTCTTTGATGTTGGAATATGATGCTGCTTCTTTCAGAATTTTATATAATCCTGACAGTCTACTGAGAAAAATACTAATCCTTTCAATATGCTGAAGTCTATATCCTGATCATGGTTCTATTTTAGTATCAAGTAGCACATGTACAGTGTTGTTCAAAAGTATTAAGAGTTTTTATAAAAATAATAGAAGAGTTAAGAGGTACAAAAGAGTTTCAGCGAGCAGTCGCGTTAAAATTGTTAATATACGAGGGTCGACTGACCTGAAACACTACCCTGGGATTTTAATAAGGTGAAAACGGCGTCCTTTAACGTTGCGAGAAAGCTCGGGTTAAGTTCATTCCATGTTGCTGCGTCAACGTTCAAACGACCTGAACTTCGACTTATTAAAAATATTCTCGTATCCTAGCTGCGTTAAATCCGCCTCGCCTCCATCCTCATTTTTCTACAGTTACTACAGGAAAAAATGAACAATGTTGCTGTGAAGTCGCGTAACGTGTTCGTATACTCGGACAAAAGCCATGCGCTTTTCGAGAACCTGCAGTTTCTCCAATTTTTCAAAAATTTCAAGAAATGATTCAATATTCCAACCACCGGCCGTTATTTAAAAATTTCTAAGACGGCATGTCAATGCTAGACGATGTAGATATACTTATAGCATCTTCCTGCTCGCTTTACGAGCGATGCTCCGTTTTTTCGTGAAACTCGAGGAAGATGGATTTCCAGTGTTTACAGGTCGGACCATGAGTCCCAAGATCCTCGTTGCTTTAACCAAGAAACGATCCATAGGAAAAATGCGTATCATCCGTACGAGCCAATTGCCGCCGGTATCCCCGCCAGTGGCTGCTCTTCACCTGCGAGCCATCGCCGATGAGACCGGCTAAGCCGAAATGCCACAGCCCAGGTAGGGAGGATATCAATGGTCGAGTGCGAGTTATTCGACAAGCATGGTAAAGCGGAGCGGCCATCGTTCGACTGCAACAGGCGACGCCATCTTTTTGAACTGTTGCTTCCACTTTCTCTATTTTGTTTTTCTACTCACTATCTATTGTGTTCGCTCTCTATTGAGGCTTCTTTCAAAGAAATTTGTGTGCGATGTGTATGCACTTAATTACGTGTACACACACGCAATTCACGGATGTAACGATGATTATCTTAATGCGACGTAAGAAAAATATTTCATTAAAATTATTTCGCTGCCTCCACATTTAGATAGACACGGAAGG